GCAACACCACTGAACTTATAAACTATTAACGAAATAACTTTATATAAATATCTCGTAAACAAGTAATAAGCATAGAGATGGTGTGCTCTACACTCACTCCACAGTATGCAACACCATTCAACACACAATTTATCTTTTAACTAAACATATTTGTAACCAAATGCTAAGCATAGAGATTCCACACTCACTCCACTAATAAGCGTAGAGGTGGTGTGCTCTACTTTGATATCACAGCACCCAACACCATTCAACTCCCAATTTATCTTTTAACTAAAAATCTTGCAATCAATTATTAACCACAGAGATGGTGTGCTCAACACAAAACCACTCAAGTCACTAATTAAAACATCTTTGTAACCAAATGCTCACCACAGAGATGGTGTTGGTGCTCTACACTTACTTCGCGGCACAGAACACCACTCAACCCGCAATAATTGATCTTTTAACTAAATATCTTTTATCTTTAACACCATGCAAGCACTCCCCAAAAGTTGTTCTGTGATGGTGTACTCTATACCTCACTCCAAAGTGCACAAAACTGCTCATTTTGAAATAAATTTAGATCTGCAGAGCTATAGTATTTAACAGATCTTTAAATCATACTTTTCTGTATTTGTTTTTTAGAAGCCAATAAGCAAGCTAGAAGATGGTCTGAGAGTGTCTCCAGTAGATTATACAAACCAACCAGTCAACCCAAAGGTAAATGACTTGAAAATGATACCGAAAGAAGAAAAACTTTGCTTGCAATGATGATATTTTACTTTGTGATCTTAAAAACTATGTAGACAAAACATCTATACCCAAATTTCTGAGCAAGCAGACTATTTAAATCAGTATTTCCCACTGCAGTTGATGTGTGGGTTTCTTTAACAATAACAAAACAGGACTTTGAACTTAGTCATGGTGCCAGTGTTTCCTTTGTTTTGTTTTGTTTTTTTTTTGCTTGAAGGGTTTTGTGCAAGGTCTTCAGTTAATCACTTTTGGGTAAATTTCCTGGGTTTATTTGTACACCCGAAAATAATCAGTAAATATATTCATCACAAAAAAATACTGTTTTCTGTGATTGCCGCGTGATTCTGTTTAATTAAAAATATTTATTTAGTTTATGTCTAAACATAGTTTCAAAGTTTTCACAATCTTTACTGGGATTTTYAAARTYCTGCAAACSTGATAGTTCTGYAAACCTGGTAGTTCTGCAAACCTGGTAGTTCTACAAGTTGCTTGCCAGAGTATTGAGAATTGCAGYAATAATTCMAGACTTATGTCTTGTTTCTTGTTTYGCAGGATCCAGAGCAGGCTTTGCCAGCTACAAGTGAYTCGGGATTACCTACCAGTAGTCCAGAAGCATCATTGATGCATTCATCATCCACATCCTCTGTCTCCTCTTATGCTTCCATTGCATCTGGAGGGGAATCCACTGTCTCTCAATCTGCAGCAGGCGAGAAGAAAGACAAACTCCCAAAGGGAGTCAAGAAAGAGCGCTTACCTAAAATCCAGTTAAGAAAGATTGAGAAAACGGCTGAGGGGGTTGTGGTTGAGTGTACCTTTGATACATACAAGAGTAACAGGATTACTTTCCGTTTTGATGTGAATGTTGATCATCCAGAAGATATTGCTAATAACATGGTGAGTATCCTTCCCCACCCATTCAATATATCGATAATTATTGATGGTTACCAGCAAATTGTGGGGCAACATTTTACATTACAGACATACAGAACAAAAAGGAGTATTATTTCATTATATGAATATAACATATTYGTATTTATTTTTTTTCCRATCCGGTATCCCAAAAAATYGTGCGTTCTGATTGGCTGTTTGAGCAGGTGGTATTTACTGTCCCATAGTAAGTCTGGATAGGGAAAAACTGTGCCCTCGATCTTCAAAATGGACCTCTGCCTAA